ATATACAATTGAAAACACACACAATAATGTAATAACAACAAATGTTTTATTAAACAGTAATATTTGAAGTACAGTATATGATGTTATTGAAGATTCAGAATTAAAGACCTTAATAGGGATTTAACCCGCCCCCCCAAAAAAAAAAAAAACAGTTATGATTTTTTACATTGAAAGTTTTACTGATGCATTATGGTAAATTTAGCAACATTATAGGCTAAGAAAATTATACACACTACAAAGCTATGTGTAGTTTGCATATATTATTTTGTTTTTTTTATTCAAATTGACATTTTTTTATCCCTGTATAGCTCTTATACAAGCACACAGTTAATGAGAATTGTGTGTGCTTTTCTCTAAAATGTGCAGTGTTGAGTCATTCACCATACAAAGACAGACGAGTGCTGTGAGCTTCAGTCTGTGTGGTCAGCTCAATGCTCCTTCCAACCTTAGCAACATTGGGTTAACTATGTGTGCCTAGAAGAGGCACCCCGATCCCATGATTATTGCCTAATGATATAGCCCAGGTTCAAACTAGCACTGTTTGGATTCGGCCTTTACTAGCTGTGAATTATGAATTACAAACATATTATATTAAGAAAAAAAACATAGAGGAAAACCCATAGGCGTTAAAACTAAAAGGTATAAAATGCATTTTCTTAATATTATATTTATGTTTGGATAGATGGATTATTCAAAATGATAGTTGGGTAGTTCAAAAGTTGCCTGAGTACAGAAGTAAAGGTAGTACAATTTAATATAAAACTGGCAAAGACAGCATCACTCTTTAAAAACTGTGTTTTCATAAATGCTTACCATCTTATAGTGTACTTTTTTAACTTTGACATCTGCTTTCTTGGTTACTGTATCAAAAATACAGATGGGGCCATTTGGAATATGCGGTAGCAGTCATTCCTGTGTGAAGCCATATCAGATATTAAATTGAGGAAGAAGGGCAGGAAAAAATAACCTCAGCCTCAAAAAGATCAAATAGTGGCATCATAATTATATTATAGCATTAATAATACAATAATACAGCAACATCAAAGAATGATGTAGTTCAAGTAGGTACTGTAGCTGTGTCAGGATGCATAGGCTGCAAAGGAACAAGTTAAAAGTTCCATGCTGAAAAGAGAAGAAAGGAAAGACAATGTTTCAGTTGCGGAGCTCACACCCAAAGAAAGCTCCACAGCCAAAACATTGTGTTTCCTTTCTTCTCTTTTCAGAACAGAATAAACCTTTAACTTGTTTCATCACAGAATGATGCCACACCCTGGAAACTAAGCCGCTATATCTCAAGGACAAAATGCCCTGGGTGTCATTATTTGTGCTGTGTAGTGTGGGGAAAACGCTATGTGCAGAGGGGCAGCTTTTCATTCAATTCTAGTGATACTATCTGTATGGAGTTTGCAGGGTCTTTCCGTGTTCGCGTGGTTTTCCTACCTTAGTCCATATAACATCCCAGTAGGTTAACAGGCTCCTGTGAAAATTGGACCTAATGTGGATGTGTGCTTAGTTTTTGTTTTTGTCTGTGCACTGCAATGGATTGGCATCCTGTCTTCCCTTCATGTTTCTCTCTTGCCTATTACTGTGTTGTGGTCAAAGATAGTTGGCTCTTTCTCAATTATCATCACTAAGGCTTGGCTTATTTGCTCCTGTGCCTCTCCACTGCTGCTTGCCTGGCTCAAGTTTCATCCTCTCTAATGCATCCCACCTTTCATAGCACTGTTGGATTTGTAGATCCAGCCACTGTCTGCCTCTTACAAACTGGGATGGGATGAGATGAGTTTCCTCACTAGCTCAAACAAGCAGCTCTTCAGCCATAGCTTCTCCACAGAAAAAAAAAAACTGCTCCCTCCACCTGCCATGTTGTCTTCTCTTTCTTTCAGCTCTTCTGACATTACCTCTCCAGAGCTTGGAAAAACCATGTACACTTCTCCCCTCCTCTGAAATCTCTGCTCACTTGCCCCCTCCTCTACTTTTCCCCTATTGCTTTCTTTTCTTTGCTACCATATGATCCCCTGGTCACTGACACCCACTCTGTCCCACAAGTACATCAGTCAAGTCTGGCCTCCTCAGTCTAACTGCTCTGTCATCCCAGACACATTACAGCCCTGCCTGCTACAGTGGGGTTATTTACATCTTTTCTATTTCCCCAATGCTGGCATCCAACTGGCTTGATGACCAGCTCTCAACCATCACACCTACCAACTCCATTCATTCAGGCTCCCAGGACTGAAGCCTCCTCAAATTCTCCAGAACCTTACTTAGCATCATCAAGTCCTTCCTGATCTCCAACAACACAAACACTCAGCATCACTCTAGGCATGAATTCCTCATTAATCCTACTCGCCAACCCACTCCCTACTATCTACCTACAAGACAGATTCCTTACACTATTTCGAGCAGACCAGAAAGGTCAATTCTTTGTTAATATATGCACTAAGATCGTTTGAAAATCAATTCAATTCCTGCCTCCTATGCCAGCTCTAATGCATTATTTAAAAGAAAAAGTTTGATGGGTCTTTACTTTTTAACAAGCAATCCCACATCAGAGTAAGCACATTGCTTCACAGACCAACTCAATTTCCGGCACATCACGCATGACACCATTGGAACCGGTACAAGCACAATCACAATGTTGCTCCCAACTTCCCAATATGCCAATCTGCCTAGGCACCTCTCTGTCACCCTATTCCCTTTCTTTTTGCAAAACAATCATCATTCTCTGTAAACATGTAAAACACCAAGACAGTCCATACTGCCACTTCTCCACTTCTCATCCCTAACAACTTAGCAAAAACGTGTCCCTTGTACAAACATTTCAGCAGTCTTGTTCCAGACTATCAAACCAGCTCTTCCACATCCCCTTTCAATGATGAATTCTGCATACTTTTGAATAGGGATAACTAAAGCGCTGCATTTTCTGACCAAAGTCAGGAATGAGATGTCTTCCATGTCTATGATCCCAGCCTTCGCTTTCGCTTTAGTGACTCTACGTTTTGCAAATATCCATAGCAGTCGCTGCTTCGCCAGCAACAGGGGACCTACTGGGCAGACCAATACTGAGCTCTGCTGATGCCTGTCCACCAGCCTTTTGATTTTCTCGTACTTCACCTGTGGGGTTTACTCCCAGGCACCATTACAAGGTTCACTCTCTCAATCTCCGGTTTAGTCTTTTACGCTACACACATCTGCTTGAACCATCATCAAAGTCAAGGGTGCTAAAGGGTACACTACAATCTTTGCAGGAGAAGGGCAAGTCAGTAATTTCAATCCAATAAAGGACAGAAGCTCCAACTGTCACTTCTTCATGTCAGCAGCTCCTTGAAGCACTTGTGCATACTTCATGCCCTGGCTGACAAAGCCCACATCCTAAATATTCTACAATCATATCCAATGTCTGAATCCAAAACCTCTTTGGGGTGTGTAAGAAATAATTACTGAGTTGTGTGTCCCAATTCTCGAGTTCCACTCAAATTCCAGGTCTAAAACTGATATGACCCAATTCATTTAAGAAATCTTTTCTTATAATCATTCTTGTTCTTTTCAACCAGCCACCTTATCCATCATTCTTTTCATCAATGGAAAACAACAAGTCCTCCAGAGCATGTTAACAAAACTGGCTTCAGTGCTGTTCGCTTCTCCGGATACTCTTTCAGAATAATTGAACATCTTCCAACATCCCATCAAAACACTAGATCAATGGTCTTTGAAGCATATGATGTGTATATCTGAACCAATCCATTCACTCAAAAGCTTGTGCATGTGTAGTTAAAGATTCTGCTTCAGTGTACTATATTTTGGGGGCAACATATCCTCAGAATGGGTGCAATTAATGTCAAATAGTTTATAAATAACTTGTCTCTACATTATATTCATTAGCACTTAAATGAACTACTGAATACATAATCATAAAATGTTTCAAAGTTGATTCTAATAACTATAACTAAGAGAGACATACCCATTGAGATGCAATCTATAATTGCAAGACCACTAGCAATGTTAGTTTAAAATTAATGATTTTAGATGCAGTACAGTTTAATAAGACAATATTGAAATTGCTTAGAAACATTCTGATTTGCAATCTGATTCTGCACTAGAATACTGTACCAAAATATATATCACTTTCTTTTTAATTAAATGAAGTGTTGCATGAATGTTGTAACTGAGGTGTTGTGCCTTCTGGCTATGTTGTGAGATTGGGAACACAGAAATCTGTTATCAGTGAACTGAAAGGAAAAGGATCGATGTGCAAATTGCATCAACAGTTAATTAGTAAACATTGCATTAGTACTTTAAGTGTTATCACTTAAAACAGCAGCATCAAACATTTTAATTTTCACTGTGCAGTGGATATCTAATACAATATATTGTATATAGTTTGTGGTCGTGTGGCCTTTGTATCCCTAGCTCACTTAATGTCTACATCAGCACAATGTATTAAAGACACTGACTGTTTTTATTTAAGAAGACAGTATTTTATTAAAATTACTTTAGTTTAAATTGATTGAATGAGGACCATGCCTTTGTTTTAGGCAGGCATGACTCAGTTTTGTTTTATTAAAAAAAATCAGTTTTAAAATCAGCTGCTCTATAATAGATGTTAAGCGTGTACTGTAAAAGAAAGTTGTTAAGCACATTCTTCCTCTTGCTACTTACAAATTAAGTGTTTTATTTGACAATGATGTGCAAACCCAGCATAATTCATTAATGCTTTGGGTGCTCATTATTGCCTTTTCTCACTTCTGAAAGACTCATTACCTGCACAATGAAACAGTCCTTACAACATTGAGACCTTAATTTACTGAAAATTAATCTTTTTCACACATAAGAAAAATAATAGTAGGGTAAAATATTCAGAAACTTTTATAACAAAGTTAATTTATAAAGTTAGAATAAAGTTATTCACTAAGGGTGTGATCTTGGACCTAAAATGTAAGGAAAGAGCAAAAAACAAAATCTTGTTGTGCCATAAAATCATGAACATAAATTCTACTTACAGTTGACTGTAACTTTCACTGTCTTCATATCAGGAAATGATATGTCATTTTGAGCACTGCATTCATAATCTCCAGCTTGGTCCTTGGTGATGCCGGTGATAATTAAATTCTCTCCACTTTCATACTTCTTGGCTAAAAATGGAATAATATCAATGTTAGAGAAGGGTATTGTAGGTTGTCTGTGTTTTTTTTTTTTTTGGTGTTTCTTCTGTGTTGATTACCAAACATAGCATATTACACAAACATAGTAGATACTGAAACAACACTTCTTAAAGCTGAATTAGACAGAAAATGAAAGGTGTTATATGTGCACCCTAAAAGAACATCACATCATACATTCCTACTTATTCTACTGGATGGTCTTCAGAGAATTTCGCACTGCCACAAAATCCTGATAATAAAGACTGTACCTTATCAGTACTTTATCCATAAGAAGGACATACCCTGCGCTCTGACCCCAAGCTTCTCTCTCCCTGTATGTGTGCCTGTGTGTCTCATGGAGAGCAAGCTGGGGTATGAGAAAAGACAAATTCCAATGTATATGGCTAATAAAGTGATCTTATCTTATCTTACTTTCCTAAAAGGTACCAATGCACTTAAAAAGATCACATGTTAAAGTGTAAAAATGCCTAATGATGCATACGTCCTTTCAATAACATGCACAAAACATTCATCATACTAAAAAGGTACAAAGACAAGTCTGGAAAGCTTATTGAAAGTGAATGACAACATATGGTGATGTCTGGGCCTTAACTGCAGGAAACAACTATGATTTCTCCATTTTTATGTAAAGCTAAAGCTCACTTCTAAGTTAAAGGCATATTATCCCTATGTCCTTTATGAACAACTTGCAACAGTTTATACAAAGTCATAAATTAGACTACATTTTTACAAAAGGTCTCTGAATTATACAAAATAAGTAACAACTAAAAGACTGACAAATGTACCAGCAATGAGCTAAAATACATAACTATATCTATCTTTTAAATAACGTTCATGCATTGTTCATCCTAAGCAATTAACACAAGGGTTAGCGATGTAAAGTATACACAGATAAAGTATTTGTCTATATATTACTGTGAGCACAGATTTCAAGATTTCAAAATAAGTCAGTCAGTAAAAGAAAAGTGTCTACTGTCATTTTACGCTACTGAGGAAGGACTCTTGGAATGTAGCACAATCCAGGAACATTGGGGAATCCACTTGAGAGGCAGCAACAGGCAGCCAAGTTGGGGACCTGAAAGCAGTAAACCGGTAGTAGCCCACAGCTGCGTTTTACTGAAACCAGAAGGGTCAAAGAACGTGCACTCAGGGTATGAGACTCAGGCTGCTTACAGACAGGTGAGTTGAGTAACCACACACAGAGATAGACGTGGTGCTGTGGCTAGCTACGTAACCAGAGAGCTCAATCTGCAGCGAGGGTGAATCTGCTGGGAAGACACTAGAGTAGTGTAAGGAGCAGTGGGGAATCCAGGAGATAGGTCAAGGAGATGAGCTGGATTCAGAGTCAAGAAAAGTCACTGTAGACAAAGCCCAGGGATAATCCTGAAGAAAAGGCATCAAACAATCAAGGGTCAGAGCCGGGAAACACACAGTAAACAAAACAAAGATGAGGGCTGATCCTGAAGATGAGGTCAACAGCAAGCAAACAGAGTAATAACAAATGTTAACTCAGGAACAAAAATGGGAAACACAGCAACGAAGCCTGAGGGGCTTAGGGCTGACTCAGACTTCTCAATTTAGTCAAAATAATGAAGAAGAGTAATTTGCAGGAAAACATTTTTTGTGGCAAAAAAAGCTACTTCTTTTTACCCACATAAAGGTTATACATGCTGAAAAAAGAAGAAAGAGAACACAGGTGTGAAGAAGGCTCCACAGCCGAAACGTTGTGTTCTCTTTCTTCTTTTTTCAGCATGGAATAAACCTATTACTTGTTCCTTTGCAGCCTACGCATGCTGACGCAGCTACCCACCTGAACTAAAGGTTATACATGATCTGTCTATAACATCAGAGATGACTCGAGCAAAAAGGTAAATGCTACTGTGAAGGATTTTCCAATTATTTGTCCTCTTAAACATGCTTTAAATTATTAGATATTGTTTACACAAAATAAACCCCTTAATAACTTGTTTACTAACCTATGTTCCATTAATATATGTCTAATTTTCAATGCACATGCTGTTTTCCCAACTAGAACCTCGTCGTAATTGGAGCTTTGAATTATTGCAACAAAAACATGTACACACACTTGGTTACATGAGATTGAGTGCAGAAAACATAAGAAAAAAAGAAAAATCCCCACACATCATGGGTGTAACCTTCATAGTAGGTTCAGCCTGGAGTGATTGTGGTTTAGCCTGAGTTTCTTTATTTACCAAGGGAAACTGAGTTGGCATGAGACCATCACAAAGTTAGTTTTACCCTACATGTTATGTGTTGTTGCAATAGTAATCCTGCACAGTATGAGAAGAAGTATGGGTTCAGGCATTTATGTCTGTGCTTTGCTGAGGAGCCAATGGTTTATACCATCTGTGGGATTCTAAGAGATTGCATTTCAATCAGTATCCCCTCTAAAAGTTGGAATCTTCACAAGACCAGGAGAGGCCCCAATTTGACAAGCTCCATCAATCCAGATAAGATGTTTTGAAAGTATTATATATTTAAGTAATCAAAACAACTTGTGCTATCATTGATTGGATTTATCTATAAAACTGTATTATTAAGATTAATTTAATGCAGTGGTAAAGCAATACCAGAAACTGCATGGATTTGGATACCACGTCTACCATAAATAAGTGTTCATATATTGTAAAACACTCATGAAGGAGAGTAATACATAATTCTTGAATGCAAAGATTGTTAAAAGCGTTAATGTTCTATAATTAAAAAAATGACATAATTAATTAGACTACTCGAAATGCACAAGGAACATCTACTACAGGCCTCCATAAATCACCTTTCCCATAATTAATGAGTGATAGATTTCAAACAAAAAGCTTGCAAATGACAAATAAAGGAATTAAACTCAGGCAATGTTTTCCATCAATTCATTACTTTTTTCTTACAGGTTTCTCTCATGTTAATTAATTTCTGGCAGTTGAAAATGTGCATAAAGTAACTGATAATCAGAATTCTCTTTAATTAGAATTAGCTTCTCTACACAATCTGGCCCATGTATCCTCAATAATATAGTAGAAAATAATTCCTGATTTAGTCACTGAGGTGAGATTTGGGAGTGGAGGTTCTCTCTTCAAGGAATAGTTTATTTAGTTGTGTACTTGATATGAGATAATGAACAAATCATGAAATGTTATAAAACCAAACTCCACAGATACACACAATATATTCATGAACCACTAGTTTTGCTTAGTTTTACTTGTACACCAGTATACTTTTTGCATACAGTATACGTCTGCAGCTGTTACAGATAGCAGGGGGGATGCAGAAGTGAGAATACTAGTTTATTTTTAATTTTACCTTTACATTGGAAGGGCAATAATCCAATTGCTCCACTAAATTTTATATAGTAGAGAATAAGGTAGTACCTACGAGAATACAATGTAACATGTAAGGGCTCTTTTAATTTGGAGAGTAGCACAGGAACAGTGCAGAACATCATTTTACATTGTTTACAAAAACACCTTTCTGTGATTGGAGGTTATGTTGAGGACAACACATTTAACAAATTCATACAGACATCCTTATCAGCAAGTTCTCACCATTTTATGTACACAGTATTTATATATGAAACAGATAAACAGTAAAAAATAATATGGTTCAAAATAAATTCACCCTTACAAATACAAATGTCCTGCACACTAACATCCGAAATGTCTTTTGTAATATTTTTTAAAAATCTTCTTAAACTTTTAGAGCCTAATTCACCACAGTTCAGACTAATTCAGAGAAAGATCACAAATTAATGTGTAGTCTGGTGGAACCACCATTGGGGGGTAATTGTATTACAGCTGTAATAAAATTACAAACTCTTTGCAATGCTAAACCATTGCAATTACTCACATTAAACCTTGCAGTCTTTTTACCATTACTATCATTTGTTAAGGATTACTGACAGTATTACAATTGGGATTCAGGGAAAATGGGCATACAGTATATCAAAAACACTTGTGGGTTTTACTCTATGCCCTGTAGCGGCAATGCTTGTTAATAAGACAGAATTAAGTGTTGCTGTGCTTTCCCAAATGAGGCCCCATCTCTCT